ATGGAGCATTGGGTGTTATACGCAAACAATGAATCATGGAACACTACATCAAAAACTGATGATGTAATGTATGGTGATTAACATAACAATAAAAAACCCCAAGCAGTGGTAATAAAATGTGAAATTGTTTTTCAGCTTGTACCCCACAGAATCCAGGGCATCCAACACATTGGCAACACTTTATTTTCTTTATGCTTATCTGTGTTGTCTAGGTTTTTCTGCTTCAAGTAGCTGTTATTTTCATAGTTAGAAATACAAACAACAAATCACTCTTTTTGAGCTTTTTGAGGTATGGTTGACTTACAATGTCCTATTACTTTCAGGTGTACAACACAGTGATTCGAGAATTCTATACATTACTCAGTGCTCACCACAATAAGTGTAAACAACAAATATTCTTTTACAAAACAATAGAAGAGGCAAGTGTCAAGGCCTGACAGGAATACACATGCTTACTGAAGACTCGTCCAAAGCAGGGTGTGTCTTTTATCTTCCCCACATCTTCCCATGTTTTCCATTTTAATTGGTAAGCTGCATCATTTTGAAGGGGGAGAGAATGAATTAAATGACATTGAAATCATAGAAGTGGTTCATGCCTGACTTACGTCGCATCAACCCTCTCCACGCCGCGAAAGTAGCTGACGCCATCCGATGTGTTTCGCAGATGGTGGCACTTATCATCAATTCGGAAAGCCGCCTGTTTATCACTCAGGTCCTTCTCCAGCTCGTGCTGGGAAGCTCTGTTAGCTCTGTAACACAGAGTGGGGAAATAGAGCTTCAGGCTTAGGAAACAATTTGATATGAGGAAGAGTAATTGGCTCTTCTGTGCTGGGACCCACCCACTACTGCTGTCTGGGTCGCTCCTCTTTCACACAATGTCCAGCTTCCCAATTAAAAAGAGCCTTCCCTGGAGATGTCCATGCAAGTGAGTAATTAGAACCCTGTCCACACTTCCCCTCCCATGGTGTGTGGTGGAGCTTGGGGGGAAAAAGGTATAGATAAACAGAAGGCAGGTATCTGGAGCCCCAGGGCTGGGACCTGTCTTCCTAACACAAACATTGTTCCAGACAGGACCCTGGTTTAAAGTAATCTGTCCACATCTGTGCCTCTATTTCCTTCTTCTTTTTCCTCTTCTATACCCTAATTCCTCCATTCTTTGAGTGCAATTCCCCAAGAAGTTCTATAGGCTAATAGACATTTATAGCCAGCCTCCCTCCTTCCATAAGTGACCTCAGTTTGTGGTCACGTGAGGCCTAAGAAGTTTGCCAGGAGATAGAAACCAAGCATCAATATTGAGCTCTGAGGCCAGAGACAGAGTGATTGAAAGGAGATCAGGAATTGGGGCCCCCCAGGCTCATCTGCTCCAGTAGCCACCCTCCTGGGAAGGAAGAGGCTCTGAGATACATGGTGTTCCCTGCCCTGCCAAACAGAGAGGAGACCCGGCAGCTCGCTACCATGGAGATAGACCCATGGGGTGGGCATGTCTTTACTCATGCAGTGGTTGATTCAACAAGTAATTACTGAGTGTCTACTACCTGTCAAGCACTGTTCAAGCCTGAATGCATCAATGGACAAAGCAAACATCTTTTCTCTCAAGAAGTGTACATTCTAGAGGGAGGAGAGAGGCAATACCCCTAATGAATAAGCAAATCATGTAGTTTGTTAGAACAGTGCAGAAAACAAAGCAGAAAAAAGGAAACGAGTGTGAATGATGATTTAAATAAGATGGTCAGAGTAGAACTCCTTGAGGAGGTAATGTTTGAGCAAAAATTTGCAGAAGGAAGAAGCAGATCACTCAGGGCCTCGTTGGAGGACATTGGAAGGAGTCAAGTTTTCCTCCAAGTGAAATGAGAGACCACTGACTTACAATTTTAAAGGACCATTTGGTGCTGGGTTTAGAACAGATTGTAGGGGGCAGGGAGACCCATTAACAGATAGGTACAGTTACCCAGGTGAGAGATAGTAGTGGCTTGGACCAAGGGGGTAGCAGTGAAGGAGGTGACAAGTGTTCAGATTCTCAGTATGTTTTAAAGGGAGTCAAGAGACTCCCCTAGGAGATTAAACATGAAGGGGTAGGGGAGAGGTGAAGCTGAGTAATTGGAATAGCAGAATTCCATCAACAACGGTGGGAGAGTAGGCTGGGGAGAAGACAGAAGTTCAGCCAACACACTGAGCTTGAGCGTCCATTAAACATCCAAGTGCAGATACCAAGGAGGTTGTTGGAATTTGGGAGAGAGGTCTGGGATGGAAATAAAAATTGGGGGATCATTAGCATATAGATAGTATTTGAAAAAGCAGGACAACCAGATGATCATCATTTTGGTGTTCCTGGCATCCAAAATGGTCTTGGCGTACAGGAGCCACTTGGTAAAGCCACCGTTGAATGGAATAGATAATTCCAGCTGCAGCTTCCCCTTAGCTTAGCTTGTACCTTTAGGTAAGTCACTTATCAGAGCTCTTCTTTTTGTGTGAAATAGAAATGAGGGTAGCAACATGCCAGTAACCTGCATTTTGATCCTGAAACGCTTTTGTGAATTCTAAAACACGTGCAAGAGATGAAAGGTGAGAGAGCTGCCTCC